CCAGTCATGGGGCCTGAACTCTGGGCCTGGGCGTTGTCCCTCAGCTCTTTAGCTCAAGGCTAGCACTCTACCACTTGAGCCACAGCACCACTTCTGGCTTTTTTCTTTTTTTATTTATGTGGTGCTGAGGAATTGAACCCAGGGCCTCATGCATGCAAGGCAAGCACTCTACCACTGAGCCACCTTCCCAGCCCTCCCTGGGAGGGTTAATCTCCAATTAACCCCCAGAAAACCAGAAGTGGCGCTGTAGCTCAAGTGGTAGAGCCTTAAGCTGAAGAGGTGAGAGACAGTGCCCAACCTCAGAGTTCAAGCCCCATGCCCGGCAAAAAAAAAAGAAAGAAAGAAAAGCGTATAGAACTAAGTTGCATACATCTTAAGAGTCAAAACAGACACATGTATGAAATAGTATAGAACACAGAAATGACAAGGGAAAAATCTAGTTCTGTAGGTCAGATAAAGAAATTTAATAAATATTTCAAATAAATATGTAATAAAATTATGCAATAAAATGTCAAGAATGGGCAACTAATGATACGAGGTTCCATAAAGGAGAAGGCATGAGTGGAGTGTACTAAGAGCTGTTCAAGCTTATGATTCAGAGGCTAAGAAACCAAGTACTTCATTTACTCAGGCAGTTCCTTGCTGACACGTTGTCTACTTGGTTGACCTTTGAAAACAATTAAGCAATACCCCATCCATTGGTAGGCTCCGGGAGCAGATCTGCTTGATGAACTGAAGTCCACTTCAGTTATCCATATAAGCAGTTCAGGACAAGAACCTTTCCCCTCTCTTTTTGCCTCCCCTCTGCCCACAACTGTTTATTTCATCTCATACACAGCTACTACAATGTTTTATTTCATTGGGGGAAAAAATCTGTATAAAGAACCAAATCTGATTCCCTTGAAGAAAACATTTACCACAGTTAATAAAACTCAGGAGACGAGGGAGGAGAAAGAGTGTACTGCCCTGTGCCAGCTCTGTCACTATCTTAGCTCTGACTAAGGCCTTGTGGAATAGGAATCACAAGTGTCCACAAGAACTCTGCTTGGCCTTCTGACACTTTTCTGTTAGATGTCAGCATCTAGCATCTGCAATTTAACATCTGATGAAATCCAGAGAGATGCCATGGCAGTTATTAAAATATGTGTGAATAAACAGAATGCACAAAGACTAGGTTGGTGTTAGTTACAGGCAGAAACACTTCAAACAAGAAAGAAAATATTTATATATATATATATCAAAAAATAGTTCTAATATATAGAAAAACATCTCAATTCTCTAGGGTCAAGACTTGCCCCTTATTTACATTCACAAAGCCATTAAAGGAACCCAGGACTGACCAGGAGTAACAAGGCAGGGCTTTTTCACAGGGCATGTCAATTGCCTACTATGTAAGCAAAGAGAAAGGGTGGGAATCAGTGTAGGAAAAAGAAATAGGACTTGGTCTTGAGTTAATTCCAACTCCTCCCAAACCCTAAGAGTTTGAAAGCTTGGACTGTCTCCGTGAGGTCTAGGCTAACAAATAGCTGATCTGAATGGTCTGTTGCCAGGATACCAAGGTGACATAATAATTTCTTCCCCCCCCCCCTCAAAATCTAGGTGGGAAAGGGATTAGATGAGGAAAGTACCAAATAATTGAGGAGAAAAGGAAAGGCTATGTTGAGTGGGTATTATACCAGCT